TCATAATTTGGATTAAAAAAACTGAGCGAGCCTTGCAGGTTTGCTATAATGACAATACGCGCCATGCAAGGTGCCAAAAAGAGAGAAAAGGACATGAAGTAATTTTAAAGCTAAACTGTTCTAATGACTGAACAATTCCCAAGATGGAGAAATATAGGACAAGTGAGCAAAACCATCCAAACAAAAATTCAAAAGGATGAAAATGCTCTCCAGAGGCTTGTGAAAGGATGCTGTGTGCTTGTCCTTAATTTTTGCACATCAACCTATTAAATATTGGAGATTATATTAAGGATTATTGTTTACTATAATTAAAATATAAAATATTTTTCAGATAATTTTTTATTTATTCTGACATGTCTGAATTTCAATTACTATTTTCAGATTCTAAAAGGAAACGAAAGCCTACGGCAGCACAGATAGCTGACAGGCTTCTTCAGAGTCACAACAGCACTGCACAACATCAGTTGCATATAGCTGAGTGCAAAGAAAAGGAAATCAAACTACTAGAATTGCAGATAGAGCTGCATAAACAGAAGCTGGAGTTTTATGCAATAAAAGCAGCTCCAGCAGAAAGAAGAGCTGTTGCAATGGAGAGACTAGCTTTGGCAGCTGAGAGGCAAGCAATGGCTGCAGAAAAGCAGTGTGCGTGGACAGAAAATATTTTCCATTTAAAAAATAAAAAAGTTAAGACTGATAATCAAAAAATAAATTTTCAAATGAGAAAAGAAAATCTAAAATATGTAATGTGTATTTTTGTAATAAAATTGATTTAATAATAATTAAAAAAAGATAAATATTTTGGATATGTATTATTTGTGCTTCTATAACTTCAAAATCTAAATCAAATACATATTATTCAATTAAAATATTTATTATCATTAGTTTTAAAAACGAGTTAAAATTAAATTATCTCTGATTTTAAGAGCAGCAGCTCTTAATGATGGTTCAAAAACTGTTGGTGGAATTGGTTCTTCTCTGCAATCATTTTCAATATCAGGTAATTTGTAATGCCTGCAAATATTATGCAACACTGCACAGGCATTTACAATTTTCCCAGCAGTTGTTGGTTCATAATTTAATTCTCTTGCATGCAGTAGACAGCGAAATCTTGATTTCAAAACCCCAATACATCTTTCAATGCAGTTTCTGGCTGTTGCATGCTTCTTGTTATATCTTTCATTAGCAGATCCTACAGTTGGGGAAGGCACAGGAGTCAACAACCATGGTTCCAAAGGATAGCCTGCATCACCTGAAGTATTAAAATATATTTTTCACACTTGTGAAAAGTAATTTATTTTTAAATACTTTGCAATTAAAGTCTTAAGTACTAAATACTTAATATATATTAACCAGAGAGATATATACCACATGAAAAACAATGAAACTTTACATAAATTACTGACACAAAACTAAAAAATTACTTTCCTAAAAGCCAAGAGCCAGTTTCATGATGCCTGGAAAGTGCATGCCGAACTCCTGAAGATCGCCACACAAATGAATCATGTGAACTACCAGGAAATTTCGCATTGACGTTGATGATCATCAAATCAGAATCGCAAATCTGAAATAAAACGAGGTCACATGAAATCTTCATACTGCTTTAATATTATTTTTGACCACTAGACATAAGATGTCAGAAATATACCAATCAAATTATCGTCAATCTAAACTAGAGATGTGTGTGTCGTGTACCCAATGGCTACCAAAACAATCACACCAGGTGAAGGGCATCTATGGTATGGTTTGGTTTGGTTTATTAGATTACGGCAAAGCACTCGAGGGCTATCTACCTTAAAGGAGGGATGCCTTCGTGGAGGACTTTTTAAGGGAAACTGGCTCATATACACCCATGCAGCCAGCCCGTTCGCGGGATTTGAACCTCGGACCGAACTACCAGTGTTTAGCGACGTTACCGCTCGGCCGCTGGTGGGCTTGGGCATCTGTGGTGACACTGAATGCAAGCAAGTGACGTGCAGTCTCCTTGAAGCCTCCAGACATGCAGATCAGAATACTGTATGCAGAACCGGGAATGCGTCTGAAAAGATGACACTGTGCCACTCCTGTATCCAGCTTTATTGTCCAATGCACCAAAGTAGTCATCTCTCTCTATGCTGCATTATCAAGGGAAGTTGAAGAAATGATTGCCGTGCTGATAGTCCACGCTGCTGCAAAGTCGACGCTCTGTATGAACGGATACTGGGCATGCTGCAAACATGCCCATTTCCTGACTAATGATTTGTGATATGGTTATATGGTTTTTCAGGGCTGATCTCATAATATATCTGTCCTCTCGGGCGTTGACATGCTGCATGCTATTCAGTATGACACTCAGCAACCCATTGATTCCCTATTCACATGACTATGGTTGGATGTCGACCAGTGCGACGGGCGATTTCACGGAATGATAATCCACACTCTTGATAGAAAATGGAGTATTTTGCGGTTTCGCAGCTGAGTATGGTGGTTCGGTAAAAACCATCGAAACTAGTCCTGCGAAAATTCTGAAAATATAACGCTGATTTTAGTGTTTTGCAGCTGAGGATGGTGGTTTGGTAAAAACCATCGAAACTAGTCCTGCGAAAATTCTGAAAATACAACACTGATTTTTGTTGTTTGTCTTCTGAATTAATGTTCTACTGTATTTATTTATGAGGGTTGGAACTTTAATAGTGGCAACACAGCTGAAAAAAGGCTATGCAAAAAACCAAAGAATATCACGTATACCACACGTGAACTACATACCTACCTTACCTCTCATCAAAAAGACTCGTCCTGCCTACGTAACGCGCATGCGGAGTGACGCGAAGAACGGATCCTTGTATTAGCTCGCGGTCTAAAGTAAGTGTTGTCAGGATGTTTTCAGAACAAGAACAACGATATTGGATAAAAATTGAATGTGCCAGAGGTCGTACAGCACGACAGGGTCATCAAGGGCTTCAAGAGGCTTGCAGGGAATCTGCATTGCCTTACAGAACCGTAGCATGATGGGTGAAAGCATTCAATGAAGGACGCCAAAACATGGCAGACGTGCTGCGGCCAGGTCATCCGAGTGTCAGCGATGCAGACGTGCAAGCTGTTGCCGCACTAATGGACAGTGATCGCCGCCAAACGATTCGTCAGCTGGCCGGACAAACGAGATTAGCGCATACGACTCTGCTGCACATTCTGATGGAACGCCATGAGAAAACATAATTTCCATGAGAAAAATTGCTTCACGATGGGTTCCACATCAATTGACGGAAATGCAGAAATGGCTACGATACGATCCTGCCCGAATCCACCTGGAGCGCTATGAGCGCGAAGGAGATGCTTTACGCCGTATCATTACGCTGGATGAGACTTGGGCCCGATCGTACCAGCCAGAACTGAAACGCCAATCAAACGAATGGCGTCATCACGGGTCACCACGACGTTCGAAATTTCGTCAGAACCCCAGCAATGTGAAAGTTATGGTGATTCTCGTTTATGACTGTGATGGTGTCATCCTAACGCATACCGTTTCCCCACAGCAGACCGTCACTGCGCAGTATTACTGCTCATTTTTGGAGCACAATCTCCGACCAGCTTTGAGAAAAAAACGGCGACACTTTCTGCAGAACACTCCTCTCATTTTGCATGACAATGCTCGGCCGCATGCAGCGCAAGCTGTGACTGATTTGTTCAAGCAATGGGGCTGGGAAGTGGTTTACCATCCACCATACTTCCCAGATCTAAGCCCTTGTGACTATGACTTAATTCCTAAGATGAAGGAACCACTTCGTGGCACTCGCTTCCAAACTGTTCCTGAGACTCTTGCGGCAGTAGACCGGTCCATTCAAACTATCAACAAAACAGGCGCTGCTACAGGTATTCTGCGACTTCCACATCGTTGGAAACGGGTTGTACACAATGCTGGCGACTATATTGAAGGACTGTAAAACATGGTGACATGAATCACTTTTGTATTCCTTGTAAATAAATAGTTACCACTATTAAAGTTCCAACCCTCGTATTTTCAGTTAAATTTTTTTATGTAATCTTCAAGTGTTTGTTTCATATGTATGTTTTTTCATTTATGTTTATGTATATTATACATTATTATTGGAATTCAAATGGGTCACTCAGTGATCTACAGGTTGTCAAGATTAGAACAATTAATATCGTAAAGTTTGCATTAAAGTAGACAGTAAGTCAAAGTTATTAGTACTGAAATTGCAACCACAGAAAGCCCATGCATACACTGATACAGCCAAATCATTCCATTTCAACAAAACAATTGCAGTATTTATGGCTTTGACCACTCCTTTTAATTTTTGAGAGTGATAAGCATTTTGCCTGAATTTAATAGGTGAAATACTACATTATTATTTTATGCAAACAATGTAATATTTTGCATCATCACATACACTACTTGAGTAACAGAAAACACGCCCTGCATTTTCAGGGAGTAGGAAAAAAATCTCATTATTGAGATTTTTCAAATATTCAGACAGATGTTAGTTTTACTTACTTTCATCATCAGCACTGCCAGGACAGCCCAGAATTTTCTTTTCAAAGATCGCCTAGGCTCTTTCTTCCCTCAGAGTTCACGTCTCTGAAGAATAGGTTAAGACTTTTTTTTTTTTTGCATAATAAAATACTGCTGTATTTAATGTACAATTTTCGCTTTTCTGCAGTATGAAGGTAATTTGTTATGATGTGTAATTAGGTAAATCAATCATAATATGCAATAACATGTCTATGTAATTTTAATAGGATATAAAACCTCAACCAAACAGTTACACACACTATTTGACAAATTTATGTGTATGATTAAAATTTAGGGTGTGACTTGATGAAGCTGGTTAATAAAAATATATAACGCTTTGACTTGAGAATTAATTCTTGCACTTTCATGTGTAATTTTTCTTTCAGCATAATCCATAGAATATTAAGCACAATGAAGTACATAACACAATGAAGTTTAAGAATTTCAACACATTTTATATATTTATAACAGTACAGTTGTCAATAAGGAGATAAAATAACCACGTTTTAATTGAACAAGTGGGAGAAGAACAAAATAGTGATAACTGGTACTTGCATTAAAAATGATGGAGTTCTAAATAGGCAGATATAGTATCACTTCATTATTACTCTTTTATAAAGTTTTGATTTTAATACTACTGAGAAAAACAGTTCACATTTATTACCTTGTTAGTATGTGTGCCAGCAGCATTATGTATGAATCATATGATAACAATTTTTGAATGATCCATTAAAGAGCGATTTACTAGTGAATAAAGTATAAGAAATTTTTAACAAAAGTAATGGAAAGGAAAATAATAAAAAAAATGATATAACTGAAGTTAAATCACAAAATATATCCTCTTGCATATAAATGCACACACACACACATATATATTATGTAAAATGGAAGGAAAAGTTACATACCAACTGCACATTCAGTGAATGGAATGATTTTCTGTTTATATAAATGAACCCTTGGCATTCTTCCGTGTCTTTCGGTGCAATTATAGCTACATGGGTGCCATCTACAGCACCGATGACACCAGGAAATCCAAACTTTTGATTAAATCCTAATTTAATTTTGTTTTGTTGGAAACTATTTATTGGAAATTTAATCCATTTGTTGAAAAGGCCAGAACAAATAGCATTTGTGACGTCTCGAATACACCGACTGACAGATTTCTGGCTCAGCCCAATATATCGGTCATTACCTACGTATCTCTGGTAACTTCCTGACGCATAAAAGTTTAAGGCACACAAAACCTGTTTTAAATAAATATATAAATAAATAAATATATGCATAAAACTAATGTAAATATTTTAACATATGCAGTGAAAGAAACTGCAATACATTTTCTCTTTATACCCTTTTTAAATCTAAATAAAAAAAATACACAAAACTGATATAATATCTAAAAGTAGAATCTGGTAATTAATTATAAAATCTGGTAACTAATAAATCAAGCATTCAAATATTTACAAGAATGTAATTTAACTGAAAATTGTACAGGAATTTAACTTGAATTATATACAAGAGAATCTGAAAACTAGTGGAAATTGACATTCATATTGGTACAATTAAAATTACTTAAATAAATTTTTTTAACTCAAAGCAATTTAACATGAAAGTTGAATTTAGGATGTGCTTAATTTTGAATATATACTGTGTATTCTTTAATGTATTACATTTTTATACACTACAAATTGAAATAAAAGTGGAGAGAAACAAATTATAATTTAAAACATAAAATTTCAAAATTTATAAATTATTCATCAAAAGATAAAAATTAAGTACATTAATATAGACTAGTTTAAAAATTACATTTTAAGTATGCACTCCTACTCTGTATGTGAAACAGAAAAATACCAAATATTTTCACTAAAATTAAATTAAGGAATTGCTTTTTTTATAAATCAATAGAGAAATATGAAAACTAGCGAATTATTCCTTACCTTTAATTCAGGAGTTATTGCTGTCTTTGACGTCGATGTACCGGTAAAGCAGGGCTTTAATTCATTTATAAGGCCCATGCTATAGGTTTTGTAACTCGAAATAATGCAATGAAAGTGGAATCATCAGCATCAAAAGCATTATTTCTATCACGAAATACCCGAGTTCTTCGCAAATCTTGAGAAATCAACAAATCGGTTAAACACACTTCCAAAAAAGTATCCGTGAGCTCCGCCATCTTGAATTTAGCTCTAAAACGACAGTCAGAAAGTTAAACGGCAGCTAGGCAGCTGTCGGAAAAATTTCCGACGCGTCGATCTCTGTAATGATCGAGACGATGACACCAGACTCGCTCTCTGTCGAGTAGATCGCAAAAAACGACCCGTTCCTCCATCTCGACAGTGTCCAACTAGGGCCCTTAGTCTCTCGAAGACTGCTCGTAGATGTTTTCGGTGAGCTTCTTCATCTGGAGAGGCTATTAGAATGTCATCCAAATAGCAAAACACAAATTCTAGTCCATTCAACACACTGTTCATGAAACGTTGGAACGTTTGGGCTGCATTTCGTATGCCGAACGTCATGAATGGGAACTCGAATAAGCCAAAGGGAGTGAGAATGGCCGTTTTCGGTATATCTTCTTCTTCGCGAAACTGGAATTTGTTGGTATGCTCTAATGAGGTCTATGGAAGAGAAAACTCTTTTTTCCAGCTAAAATGGAACTGCAATCTGTTAAAAATGGGAGAGGGTATCTATCAGGAATCGTGACGTTGTTTAACGTTCGATAGTCTCCACAAGGTCTCCAATCACCCGATTTCTTCATAGCGAGATGTAGTGGGCTCGACCAGTTACTTTTGGATGGCCTGCATAAACCCATTTGGAGCATAAATTCAAACTCCTTTTTAGCCGCTTTAAGTTTCTCAGCTGACAGTCTCCTGGCTTTAGCGAAAACTGGTGGACCTCTGGTTTCGATATAATGTTTGATGTTATGATTTTTAACTTTATTATAAACTGCATTCAGTTTTAACAAATCCGGAAAATCATTAATGATACGTTTATATGGATTATTTATGGCATTTAAAACCGGAATATTATTATTGTTATTTTGAAAACAAGGAGTTCCATTGGTTGTTAAGAATGTAGTACATTCAATCAACTTGCGATTTTTAGAATCTACCAAAAGGTTAAAATTTGCAAGAAAATCCATGCCTATTATCGGTTTGTTTACGTCCACAATTACAAAAGGCCATGTGAATAATCGTCTGATCCAAGATCAAGCTTGAGTAATTTTTGGCCATATGTTTTGATTTTCGTACCATTTGCAGCAAAGAGTTCTAATTTTGAGATGTTTTTTTTTATCTGCAGGGCAAGGGAGGAATGACAGAAATTTCTGCCTCTGTAAGTATCTATTAAAAATTGGGTAGCCGATTCTTTGTCGCTGATGAAAAGACGACTCAGCTGCACCCCTTGTCCCTCCGTCCGTCAATGAGAGACGGGGAGCTGGTTTTCCAGACTATTTGTCTGTGATTTTGATGAGTAGTTGCAGGGTTCGTTTACACTTAAATGACTTATCACCTGAATTTTTTATGATAGTAACAAATATCACTAAGATCTGTTACCACTGTAACTCCTATCTCTTGATTTGGATCGGTTATGACAATAGGGACGACTGTGGCGTTGCTTGTTTAAAGCAGAAACTTGTAAGCTAAGTTCACTAACCTGTTTTTGTAAACTTTCAATCACTTCCGTTTTTCACTGTTATGGATGAGGCAGCAGCTATTTGGGGAGTAACAGGGTTTAATTCCCAAATCTTATCATACATTGTAGCCACTTTTGACAAATCTTCACCTACTAACAGATATAATGCTACGCATATTAACGGGTAAACTTTGTAGCCACAATGTTTTTAGGAAAGTATCTGTTACTTTATCGCCCCACCAAATTACGCATCTCACACAGCAATTGAGATGGCGTTTTGTCACCCAGTTCTAATTCACTCAGTAGTTTTTGGGTTTTTTGAGCTCTCTGAATCTGCATATAATGAAATTAGTCTATTTTTAATTGCCAGATATTTATTATCTTGTGGCGGACTTAGCAAAATATCAGATACCTGTGACAAAATATCGGGTTCAGTGGAACTTATAACATAATCATATTTTGTTTGATCTGCATTTATTTTTGCATTTCTAAATTGTGCTTCTAGTTGAATAAACCATATTTTAGGATCTGGCTTCCAAAAAGGAGGAACTTTAACGCTTACCTTGGCGACAGATGCAGTTGTTGCTTTAATTTCGGTTTCGTCTTCGTCAGCCATTCTAGAATTCGATCACGCCGGGATACACCAGTGAAGTGTCTGGTGTGCAAATATAGAAAAATAACACTTCTCTGACTCCAATGGAACCAATATTTTATTCCTTACGATGTTATAGATTCTTATTCATAAGATTTATTTACATTTTACATGCACGTAGCTTCGCGTGACAAAAACTCGAAGTTTGTTTACTTCGTTCTTCGCGGAGACTAGAAGGTGTTGCCATTCCGCTTTAACTAAATTTAATTAGAAACTTAACGGAACTGAAGCGACACTACAGAGACTACAAAGCACTCCCTTTGTTGACGGGGGAGGGGAGTTTGATGTTACTTAAGAGCCATTCTTATATTTTTGAAAAAATATCATCTTACATTTAGAAAATTTATTAATGTTAGTACTTTATAATTTGTCAACATTAGAAGTACCTGCAGTGTTATCACTTATAGATTTTTAAAGAAGAGGGAGTCTTTTCCAATGATAAGTTAAAAATGAAACTCTGTATTTGCAGCATGCAGCATTCGTTTATATATTTGTAATCTGTGGCTTTTGAAAGTTATGTTATTTTTTGAGATATCGTAATAAACTTTCTTAATATGTTAACAGTATTTCATGAAGGTGTGATCTGTAGCACTGTTTGTCGGTTAATGCTTCCGCTGAGTGTTTAGTTAACCAATTTTAGTTCAAATGAAATTCTCTCTGGCAACATATATGAGTAAATTGTCAGTATGTTGTGAAATTGAGGAATCCTTCGCGAATTGAAATTCTCATGTTTTTGTGACAGTTACTGTTACAAGCAATATCAGTTCGGCTTTATTTAGTTTTTAATGAGTAAGTATAGTTCTCTCAAAAGCGATGCATGCTTCCATGATAGTTGGTCGCTGTTGTTCCCTATGTGAATGACGCTCTAGTACGAGCTTGTATCTTTTTTAAAAGGTGCTTACTAACGCTGATGGTAATTGTCAGAGTAAGAAAAAAGTGACCATGGGAAAGAGGAAGTTATCCTATTAAGTTCATGAACTGCTTTCAACCCCAAAGTCGGTGCTATGCTTTGATTTTAAATGTGCTAATATTTTATGCGGCTAATGAAGTTATGTGTGGGTGGAAAATAACTTGACAGGAGTAGAACTTCACAAATGGATATCGCGCGAAAGGCTGTCAGGCTGTCATCTGCATTCTTTATTTCGGGGTGAAGTTTATGCTTGTTGCTTTTATGTAGTGATTGTTTATCGCTTGTATGTTGCATTTGTGATAACATTTTTATAATGGTTTATAATACCTGTGGCTTTCTCTACATAATTTCTGTGCGGTTTCTAGTTTCATCATAGGTTTCGGCGCTCATTGAGATTATAAACAGTAATAATCACTCATCTCTGTATTTTGTATATTAATATACTACCTAGAGAGATTTAAATTAGGTAAGTTTGAGAAATTTTAAGTTCCTCCTTTGGTATGGCTGTGATTACTTTGATTTATTCATATGTTATTCATTTGATTTTACCTCTTTTTTTTAAAGATTAGAACTAATAATGTAAACATTTGTTTACTTTAGACTTAAAATATTTAATGTATGTTATAAGCCATAAATTTATCAATTGAGTTAATGAGTGTTTTTCACATTGCAAGTTCACAATTATAACTGAGTAAACTTTATATTTTGTGCTTTCGAATCTTCTTATGCTTAAACGTAAGAATTTGATATTTAGAAGTGTTTAGATTTTATTTAATTTAAAAAAAATAATTGCTGATTTTAATTAAAAATACCAAGCAAAAATATTTTTCTTCATCCTTGCTGCATGAGACTGTTATTGTGTAACTAAAAATATATTCTTCACCTCTGTTTTTCTATAAGGATTAATGTAAAGAGCCATAAGAAATATTGAAAAAATTATTTCGATCATATTATTACTGTATACATTTTTATTGAAAGTTGTATAAACAGTTACATCCTATATGAGTTACTTATCTTTAGTGTAAATTTCGATAATTTCCAAAGAAATTTTTGCAATAGAATAATAGTATTAGTTTTCATAATGATGAGAACACTAATATAGAACGATTCTAATAAGTTATTGTTGCCTTCAGAATTTACAGACATTATCACAGACGACAGCAGTATATTGGGTTAATCTTTGGATTATGGTAACTTGGTGATCAACCCTGCTACAGCAACCTGCTAGTTTTTGTTTGGACGCCAT